TGTTCAGGCTATACGCCGAAAATGTAGAGGAAAGGCTGATGCCGCCCTTACCTCCTACAACATATTCGATGAAGATTGGGCATCGATAAAGAACTGTCTTTCTCTGCATTATGCAGACAAAAGAGATGTTCGCACACTAGAACATCAGTTAACCCAACTAGCCCAGAAGAGTATGAACGTAGACGAGTTCTACGCTACAGTAAATCACCAGTTCTCCCTGATCATAAATAAGCTGAAGACGGAAACTTACTCTGAGGAAACGACTAACGTTTTAATAGAGACTTATAGGAATAGGACACTGGAAGTTTTCATAAGGGGTCTTAACGGCGAGCTGTCAAAGATGATAATGCTCATGAAGCCCAAGACACTTCCTGAGGCATATTCGCAATGTTTAGAATTGAGAAATACCAATTACAGGAGTCAGATCTCCCTGCATTCGGTTAATGGTCAGAATAGGGTCCAGGTTCCAATGGGATTCAATAACTTTCCGAATCACCACCCAAGTAAGACTCGAAACCAAGCTTCCTTTCAAAAGTTTGTACCGAAAACCCGGTATCAACCTCAAGCGAACCCTTTTGTAAACCGACAATTCGAGCCACGGCGTGTTGCGCAACAGCCTGCTCCCCACAGACCAGAACCAATGGACATAGATCAGAGTACGCAATCAAGGGGGACCGGAAACCGACCATGGAATAACCACAAAAGGCGGGCCTTTTCGGAACAGGTTCGTCCCGGGTCGGCACAACACCCGTTTAAACAACAGAGAATTTTTAACATTACACAAGAGGACAATGAGGGCGAACAGGCCGACAACGAAATAAATTTTCGGACTCATGCCTTTCCGGCTTACCTTACGTAAGCAATGAATTAAAGGATGGCTCAATAATAAAATTTTTAATAGACACAGGGGCTACCAAAAACTTTGTTGAGCCAGCCTTATGCCCCAGTTCAAAGAAATTAGATAAACCATTTTATGTTCGTACTGCATCAGGGAGAATACAAATTAGTGAGAAGGTAAAGGGAAATTCTTTGCCCCATTTGGTAACGATACGACAATTACATTCTATGTACTACCGGGATTCACATCTTTCAATGGTATAATAGAGCTTCGAGCTATAATAGACCACAAAAATAATACACTGACAATCTCGCCAGGGATCAGTATACCACTTAGAATTCAGACATTGAACGAAATTAACGTACTTCCATCATGCACTACATTGAGTGACCTTATAGCCGAATTTAGTGACATATTTGGACCAATAAATAACGAATTGGCAGCAACATCTATCATCATTGAGATACGGTGTACCACTGATAAGCCAATATACTCAAAGAGTTATCCTTATCCAGCTTGTATGCGTGTAGGGTATGTACAAATGGTTCAATGATCCTCTATATCCTTTCACTGCCCAAGGAAGGAAAGGTTACAGACTTACCGTTTAACACGTTGCTGGTTAATGAGAAAGAGACATATGGCATCACCAAACCATGCATGCGAATCAACAACAATACCGTGTGTGAGGAAAAGAGCTTGAGAAAACTCCCTGAAGATGATTGTGTTCGAATTATCATCAAAGGAGGTGAAGCAAAATGTTCATACAGATCCTGTGAAGAAGAGGTTGTCGAACTTGTTATGGAAGACACCATATTCATTACCAATTTTAGAAGTAGTCTCCAGAGTGGTAACGTTACTAAATTCCTTTCGGGAACCTACGCAGTGCGACTTAACAACGAAAAAGTTAAAATAGAAAACGTTACGTACACCAGCCGGAGCGAGACATCTATACAAATTCTACGCCAGATCGTCACAACCATCCTAGAAGAAAGGCGGCAGCTTGACATAGGTTATCTTCACAATATGAGTTTACAAAACATAAAAAATTTAGAAAATCTAGACATAAAATACCATTACTCTATAGTAGCCTATCATTCCTAGGCTACCTATGCTGGAAAGCTTTATACTCTCAAGTGCGTCTCCCTCCGCTGCAGAGCACGAGCAACGTGGCATGTAAACCCCAATCTGCGGGACGCAGATTTTTGGCAAGGGAGGAGTTAACACGATCGAGTATACATGAGCGGGAAAAATCTACACAAGGTTGTGCTGACGGTGCCCACACGCAAGCTAGTATGCAGATTCATATTTCGTCTGGAAGATTGCACAACGTGGGAATGGAATAAGTTGTATCGGCAGAATTATTTAGATTTAAGCATTTGAAAAATATTGATAGAGTTAGTTTTACTTGGGAAATTGACCAAAGCGGTCGTTAAATAAAATTGTAAACCTGAAATTAACGTGTTTCATTTATAGTAGACAAGTCGGTGTCCACTTAAAAATAATTTTTTTTTTATATTCGCATAACGAAGGAAGTTAACTTCAATATCCATATGTAACAATCGAAATCTTTTAAATATTACAAATACAAATTGTATTCCAAAATTATTGTCCAGTGATAATCACAATTGTACAATTATAAATAATCAGCACGTTCCAACCTTTGAAGAAATAAAACCTGGAATAATCCTGTTAAATCAATACAATGGTTCTGTAAGGATCCCTAACGCCAAACTATGGAATTTATCAGTAAGTTTTTTAATAAAATTTCATAATATCACAATTAATTTAAACGGTATTGATTGTTTTGCAATGGAAGTACATGATTGGAAACCGCTTCCACCCATTATGCAATTAACATCTTATAACACAGATATTGAAGAAATTCTTTCTCTTCAAATGATGAAAGATGTCCAGTTGACCAATATTCAGGAATTAAGCTCATTATCAATTGAAGGAAGAATTGAGTTTTCTTTTAACATAATACTTTCAATGACAGTAATCATTATTATTATTTACACTATATGGAAATAAAAAGACAAAGTAAATTCCACAACCAATAATCAAGGAACTAAGCCAGCAACTTCACATCCTGAGAATCCGTCAGATAGACAACAAGTTATTAGAACATTAAAACAAATTTTTCAAAATGATTCAATCGGGACGATTAAACTAACAAAAGGGGGAGTTATGGAAACAGCATGAAAATGCTCTTATACAAATTTACAAAACTGTCTTAAATAAAGCCGACCTAAATAAGTTTCATTGAACCTGAAAATTATTTGCTGACATTTAATAAAATATTTAAAAAAAAATTATTTAAATTAAGAAAGTTAAGTAATTAATTGTAAGACGCGGTGTAATTCATAGTGTTAAGTTAATAATGTAAAAGTGAAAATTAAAATATATTTAGCTGCAATTCGAAGCCGTGTGATCGAATAATAAAATATATTTTATATTGATTTAATTTGATTTGGTAAATAAATTAAATATTGTTTAACATAAAATTCATATATTAATCCTTGTATAAGTTAAATGACAAATAAAGTAATTATACTAAATATCAATTTGATCTTTGTTAAAATTACTAAGGGCTGTCGGCTGAGCCCTAATATATATTTTTTTTGTTAAGTAGATTGGAAGTTCTTAACTACAATTAGGCAGCAAACAAATTCTAATAAGAATTCAGCACAAACAAGAGCTATCGATAACAGTATTGATAACTGGTTTCATCATAATGTCGAGTTTCAACTGTACAAATATTGGGCCAACATAAATCGCCCCAAACTGACCTCAACAAAGCATATTGCAAAAGGACGCTAATCGTAACAACATTTCATTTGTGATACAACAAAAACAATAACAAATTTTGTGACAACAGTTCTTTTACTGAACATAGCAGGAATAGATCTTGTCGAAGAATTTGGTCTTTGGAAAATACCAATCAACACATTTTGCAAGTCCATTTTAATAATAATAATCGACAATCAATTCAACTTACACATCATATAGTTCTACAAGCAACATTAAAAGATGCAACCAAACAAGCAGTTCTTCACCATCGTGGCCCAGGAAATCGAAAGATCTTTCTGGCAACGATCTACTATCATTTTTTAAGCGCCGATCATGATTGTCAGTCAGTCGACGGTTGTTTACTATTTGGTGAACGTATTGTAATACTACAAGTATATAGGAACAGAGTTCTAAGAATTCTACACAAGGGACATCAAGGTATTGACCCAACATTGATTAACAAATTGAAGTCTATGTTCGACTATGTCCACATTGTCAAACAAACACGAAATCACCAGCAAAGACATCATTATCACATCATTGATCCTGGCCAATATCAACTAAACCGCTCCAACGCGTTCATATTGATATTGCCATTCCTATTCGTTTACAGTACTACTTAGTCATAGTAGACTATTATTCAAAATGGCAGGAGGTATACCGAACCTTTCGTTGATATAATTAAAACTGAAATTAAAAAGCCAAACGATAATGATTTAAAAGACAACAAAAATCTTCAAGAATTTTTATCACAATATCGTTCGACTCCTAACTCAAATTGTGTGGAAGAGAAAACTCCCTCGTAACTATTCATTGGTCGAAAACTTCGTACGGAAATGGATCTCATAAAACCAAAGTTTCTCCTAATGTTACAAGTAACACAAAAATGGAAGCACAATATAAAAGAAAATATGGCGCAGGGTATCATGAATTTCAGATAAATCAACAAGTTTTCATAAAAACTTACAAGAACAATATGATGACATGGCGTCCAGACATTATAATCGAAAAGATTGGTCATGAGAATTACAATGTGAAAATCAAAGATGCGGATACAGACAGAATTATAAAATCACATGCTAATCAGATTCGTGAACAATTCATAGATGAGAATCCCCATAATTCTATGTCTTACAATTTACAACCATTATTTAACCAAACAGTTGAAGATGCACAACCACAACAGGATAGTCTCCAGCTAGATATTCAAAATGGCAATGAATTGGTCAATACATCTTCAAATACTGATGACATTCCAAATGAAAACATTTCGTTACCATGCAGGCGTTCCACGCGTAATAAGCGTACTGCAGCATGACACCACTACTACGAGGTTCGTCATTAACAAGAAGGGAAATGTTGGGTATGCGACGCTGTTTAAAATACAACACTTCATTAATATAAGAACGTGTGTTTTATTACCGTAAGGTCACAACAAGAAGCTTGTCGATAAAGCCATTTTGGTCGGGCAAAGCTAACTTGATAAAAATTTGTGAACAAATTCACAATCTTAAATATGTAAAGGAAACATTTCTCCAAATTCAGCAATTTTTATTTAATACCTGTAAAATTTAAATTGAAGCATTTTGATGGAGAAGAGGAAGATGGGTGATGTCGAATGCAAAGGCCCTCCGGCATATAAACGAGATAATTCTGTTGAAGGAAAAAAATCCGAAGAAAAACAAGCCAGATGCTTAAGAATTCGTCAGTGACCGAGGATAAGTCGGATCAGCTAGACAAAACTAATGAAATTTCAGACAAAGGACTGAATAACAATGACAATATTGCCCATCTAAAGTGGCAGAGGAAGAATTTTTGAATCTGAAAATTAAAATCAAGTTAGAACTTGAAAAAGCGGGTAATATATGTACAACAGCAGACATTTGATCAATCAATACTCGGCCATTCTTTGGTTATACGTGCCATTGGATAAATGCATGTTTTGAAAGAAAGTCTGTGACTTTAGACTGTAAAAGATTTACAGGTTCCCATACCTATGTAAAAATAAATGAAATTATCGAAGAAATATACAATGGTTACAACCTCAATAATAGAAAAAATAGTTATTACAGTGACAGACAATGTGTCAAATTTCATAAAAACTTTTAAAGATTATGGAATTGAGAGTTTTTATGACTCAGTGGATAACTTAAATGAAGTCGATGAGTTCGATTGCCATAATGACGATATCAAAAAATATGTATCTTCCTGCTCATTTAAGATGTTGTCCGCACACCCTAAACTTTTTAGCTACCACGGATTCGAATCAAATTTGAAAAAGTATTCAAGTGTCGATTTTCATAAGAAGGTAAAAATTCTTTCGTGTTTTGGACTCTATCACTCCTCCATTTTGTTATGATGATTTTGCATATTACCAGAAATCCCGATTCAGCTGCGAAGTTGATGGAATATCGTACCGCATATTACTTAATTTGTCTGAGAAGAATATAAAAGCTGTTTTAATATGCTGATTTTCCCGGAATATTGGCGTAAGATAACAGCATGTCCGGTTCCTAAAAAGTACAAAGATATGTCTTATGTCGGTTACTGTAAAAGACCCAAAACATCTGATAAAACTGAAAATTGAGGAACAATTTGAATAGAATAGAGATGATTCCTGAAAGAACATATCAACATTAAACTGTATAAACGATATAATAAACAGAATTGAAGCACTCAAGACGAATGGAAATCATACAATTGGAGTCTGTACCGACATAGGAAAAGCCTATGATAACACAGATAGAACTACATTATGTCACATACCTTTAAAAGGGAACAACTACGTCATATAACGGTAAATCAGGCGCTAGGCGTAATATTTAATTTATCATTCTTGCAGCAGGCGACATTTCTCGAGGAAATTAGATTTTTATCCGTTAATCTAAGATCTGTGGAAGATATCTCCTCCAGTATAAAGATTGTATTGAGTTTCCGGAGGAATTTGGTATTACCTTTATAAAGTCAAAAGGGTGTAGTATTATTTAGACTAAAAAACAGCAGGATAATTGACATCAGGAATGCCTTAAAAGCTGCGCATAATTAGTGAAAACAACATATTCGACTAAATCATGGATCCATAATACAGCCGACTGATCTATGATGCCTTTAAAAGGTGGACATGGCACCTTTAACCATTCTCCTAACAACCTAACCCAAAGTTATTTGCCGTTTTATAACTCTAGCTATCAGGGTCAAATGACTTGAAAATCCCACTCAAATCTCAACAATTCCAATTATGTTCATGTGATTGTTATATTAATTAACATATAATTAGATGAATGAAGATTTCCAAACAAAGCTTTAAATCTGTTTAAAGTTATAAATAAATATAATTAAAAAACGTATCGCTCATTTACATGAAGATAATTTAAAATTGATAGATTCTGAAGTTTTAGATTATACTTTTTTTAGATTTTAAGTAAATGAACGATATGTATAAAAGTAATTGCTGTTAAAAATATATTAAAAATCTAAAAAGTTAATAGATATAGTAAATTTTGTGTTATAAAAAGTAAAAATAAAGTGAGCACCATAAAAATCATGGAAAGATAAATAAAATTTAGTTGTATTTTTTTCTTAAATTTTAAAAAATATAAACAAAAATATTGTATAAATAAAGAAAAAGTGCACTGGCTAAGGAAAAAGCATTTAGAGAGATAAAACAAATGCTTTTTTATTTAACATTATTTAAATTAAAGGTAAAATATACTTTGTTTTGTAATATAACATAGCAAACGCTAAGCGTTACAATAGAAATTGTTTGGAAATTGAAAAAAAGGAAATAAACTTAATACATTACTGGTTTTTGAAATCTAAATTTCTAAATTTTGTAATTTTTTTCAACAACTTTCCCATTAGTCCCTCCATTGACCCAATAGTTTTAACAAACTATACTAATGTTTAAAGAAAATAAATAGTGTCTTACCTTCTCTCTCTCTCGCTCTCTCTTTTTCTCTAAATCCTGCAAACTAAAACCATTAACACATACCCACACCCCTATAGATTCCTAAAAAAACTCTAGCCTTATTCTTGCCTCGATTTGTAATTTCACTAAAAAGCCTACTTAGCAAAGATTAGTTTGTATTATTGTTTCTTTTTTTTTTTTTTTTTTGCCTGCAAACAAACTTACCACTGGCACAGCCCGCTGTCACAGCAGCAGTTATTACACTGAACTCATTCCCTTCGTGTACGTTTAGGCCTTGAAACTGCAATTGAATCGCCCGCTGTTGAGGAATCTGTAGTACTTGATAGATTAACTGTTGAATATGTTGAATTTGTAGTATGATTACCTAGTTTATCAACGCCTCGAATCTTTTTGCTTGCCACCGATTGTGCGGTAACTTGCAGCGATATCGCATGTGTATTTAATTTCTCCGCCAAGAGCAAATCTTTTAAGCCTTTCATTTTTTGACTATACAATGTTATAACTGGTCTCTTGAACATATAGTGCAAAGGATCTTCTTCGTCTATCACAGGTGTCGGTGAGGGCGCCGTCGTTAGAGTTGGTATTAATGCTGACGACGACGATGATGATTGTTCCGATCGCGTATTGCTCATATTACAGTCTGTTAGGGTGTTTGATTTTGTTGTTGTATCGTTTAGTGATGATGTTGTTGCTTCATTTTTTGGAGTTTTTGCTTTTTTATCTGTACCATTGGTGGTCTCGTCATGTTGATTGTTAAGTTTTTGTTGTTCTGCAAATGGTTGTCCGCCGCCTTGTAGCAGGAAGTCGGGATTTAGGATTTTTTCTCCACATGCTGCTGTTAAATCGGCCAATGTTGTTGGCATTTCACATTTTTTACCATCATTGCATTTCTGGAGGAAAAAAAGTGTTTTCATATTTTTAATTTAAAACAAAAAATATAGGTATTATTTTTTCTCAAAAAGCTTTTTTAAAAAGACATTTTCATTACAAGTTTTTTGGTTAAAAATGTATTATCCCTAAAAGCTTTTTCATAAAAAGATTTTTCACAAAAGATATTTTCACATAATGCTATTTTTATTTAAAGCTTTTTCATAAAAAGTTCTTTTTCGCAAAAAGTTATTTGTATAAAAAGTTTTTTTTTTCATAAAAAGCTACTTTAATTAAAAACTTTTCAATAAAAAGCTCTTTTTATTAAAAGATTTTTTCACAAAAAGCTCTTTTTATTAAAGGCTTTTTCATAAACCTATTTTCATAAAAAAGATATTTTTATTAAAAGAATTTTCATAAAAAGCTATTTTAATTAAAAGCTTCCATTAAAAGCTTTTTTTATTAAAAGTTTTTCGTAAAAAGCTATTTTTATTAAAGGCTTTTTCATAAAAAAGCTATTTTTATTAAAAGAATTTTCATAAAAAGCTAATTTCATTAGAAGATTTTTCATAAAAAACATTTTCATTAGAAGCTATTTTCATTAAAAACACTCAAAAAAAGCTCTTTTTATAAAGAGCTATTTTTATTAAAAGCTCTTTTTATAAAGAGCAATTTTCATTAAAAGCTCTTTTTATTAAAATCCATTTTCATTATAGGCTTTCTCATAAAAGATTTCCTTTTAAAAAATTGTTTTCATATAAAGCTATTTCAAACATATTTTATAAAAAGCTTTTCATAAAAATTCTTTTTATTAAAGTATTTTTTGAAGCTTTTCCTCAAAAAGCTCTTTTTATAAAAAGGTTTATCCTTCAAAGCATTTTCATTAAAAAGCTTTTAACAAAAAAAAAAAAGGTTTTTGATAAAAGTTTGTTTTAAGAAGAAAACAATTTTTTATAATAAGATTTCACTTTTTTCCACTCACCTCTTCCTTTTTAAAAGCTCTTTTTATAAAGAGCAATTTTCATTAAAAGCTCCTTTTTATTAAAATCTATTTTCATTATAGGCTTTTTCATAAAAGATTTCCTTTTAAAAAGTTGTTTTCATATAAAGCTATTTCAAACATATTTTATAAAAAGCTTTTCATAAAAATTCTTTTTATTAAAATATTTTTTGAAGCTTTTCCTCAAAAAGCTCTTTTTATAAAAAGGTTTATCCTTCAAAGCATTTTCATTAAAAAGCTTTTAACAAAAAAAAAAGGTTTTTGATAAAAGTTTGTTTTAAGAAGAAAACTATTTTTTATAATAAGATTTCACTTTTTTCCACTCACCTCTTCCTTTTTAACTAAATTATTATTTCCCTCGATATGCTGTGACGAACTCATGTCACCTGCGTTCGCCTTTTGTGCTTTAGCCTCATTTGTAGTCTCATCATGATCACGATGTTGCTGCTGTTGTTCAGCTGTTGTTTGTACATTCGAACCACGAACCGCCTGCGGTTCATCTTCGGGTACTTTAATAACAACCTGAGAACGTACATCATAATCAAATTTACATATATTATTCACCAGCGGTTTAGCCCAACCAATATGTAGAATAGGCGTTAAACTATCCTCTTCCCACTGACAAATGCCATCATAAAATCGTAATAGATTTGCAAATACTTCAGAATCACGTAATATGCTACGAGCGGAATGACCGGAACTCTCGGTTTTCATAACATACGGTATCATTTCATTAGCTATATCCAAAAGTTCTTTGTAGATTTCTTCGTCATCGCGACACTGATACGTGTACAAGCGTATAACATCGGCCGCATTAGCCCAAGCGGCAAAAGCCTCACGATATTTATTTAGACGATTGAAATAGTTACCCTGATAGGTATAGGGATAAACATGATGATTTTTATAATGAGCCTTGGCCGATTCAATAGCCTCTCGATAAAGTTGATCACAGGTTACTCGTTTTGAGGTAGGATTTATTTCTTCCAATTCACCAAGAGTGCCTAAATTAAAAAAACATATTTTAGTTTGAAATTAAAGTTTAATAACCTATAAATAACCCACCTAAAGCCATAGGATATTTTCTTAAATGACCCATATCATAGAGTAACCACAATAATCTTTGCTGTAGTTCTTGTACTTCCACGCAATCACTATTCGCCGATAAAGAAATGTTTATAGCCGATGCTATAGCTGCAACCTCCATGGGTTTATCACATACCACTGCCAGACCCCCTAAATATAACCATGAGCCCGATTCTATGCCTGAAGTTATATCCTGGCCACGTTTATCCTCACTGCCCTTACCATGCCAAGTTATTTCTATAGTTTCCAAACGTTTATTACCGAATACAACCCAGGCATGATCCTCCGATATAGCTAAACGCACATCTCTATAGCCCAAGAGTTGACAACCAGCTACAACAGCTAAAGCGACACCGAAGCAATCCAACTTATTACCCGACAAGTAACTATAAAGATTTTGTAAGTGTGCACGATCTTTATAACTGCTGCGTATCAAGGAATGCCAGATAACATCTGATACCTTTTTAATAACTTCCCTAGTAGCTTGTCGGCTATTGCAGGTCGATGATACTTTTGGTTTCTCGACTATAGAGAGAATACTTTGAAATTTTTTGTAAAGACCCGACACCAGTTCGTAAGTAACTTCGGGAAAGGGTACAGAATTTCCTGTTATTATATCATTATGGGCTAAAAATATATAACAGAGTTAAAATAATGGAAAATAGGATCTAGTTCAATATTTCTGCAAAAAAAATTAACCGAATGTACCATAACATATACGTATATAATTTAATCGCGATATCGTTATTAATTTGATGAGTTAAATACGAGTAAGTGATTTTTCTGAATTATACTTTGTATTTATTAAACACAAATTTTAAACTTTAGAAAATTTGTAACGTCTTTTTTTGAAATTACTATTGAAATCCAAAACATGTGGCAATATTTCCAAAAAAGCAGGAACAAATATGAATTGAAACACCTTGAACTTATACGAAACAACAAAAACTCACATTGATAACAAAAACATACAAAATGCATAAATAACAAAAATAAAAAAAACAACAAATTTAATAATACACACCTGCCGCTGATAAACCACTGCCCACAATACCAACCAAAGATGATGGTGTTACTGCTGATGAGGATGAGCTTGCTGAGGCATGTTCGGCAGCTGATGCTGCAGCTGCTTGGGCAGCATCTCCAGTCGTAAGAGACAATTCAATGTAGCCAGCTACAATTGATAACAATGTCAAATCGGGCTCCACATTTTGTGTATGGTACAGTTCCAATGAACGTTTAAAAAAATTCACAACATCATTGATGGATTTTAATGGAAACAAACTAGGATCCAAGGGTGAAGTCAATGATATCAAGGGACTGTTACTAGCACTACGCGTCACAGTGGCCATTATAATTATAATTTAGAAATTACAATGAACGGACAATGTTTTAGGAATTATTAAGAACAAATAAGTTTTTCCTGCTGTCTCTTTATTCCTCCAGAATTTAGTTTTAGGCAATGATGATGATGATGAGGCCAATTAAAAATGTTATACTAACTGCGTTTACACTACTCCTTCTAGCCACCGTTGTTGACACAATGCAACTGTTCTTTTAATTCGTACTTGTAGTTTTTTTGTTTAGTTCTTTCAATTATATTTTTTTTCGAATTTTTTTTTCTTATTCCTGTACTTTAGGTACAGGGTTGACTGCTGACTGGCTGGCTGGTTGTTTGGTTATTTGGCTACCAGTTGACGACGCCACAAGTTGACAAACCACTTTTGTTTCGCCTGTTTTGCACCTTGTTCGCCAAAACTGCAATGCCACATTAGCGAGCGCATCTGTTTTGCTGAAACTCCTTCTTACAACAATATCAGCATTATTTCATTGCAAACATTTAAAATGAATTTTTTAGTTTTTTATTTTTGTATCCTTTTTTTGGCAATTTGGTTTTCATGTAATTTAATAGTAATTTTTACACACTTTTCAGCATGTTGATTCTAATTTGCAATCTATGATTCACGCAAAATATGACAAATTCCTTTACGAAATCACGACAACGACGATTACGACGACCCTTTTGCCCTTGTAACACCCCCTTTCTGGGAAAGAAACAAATTACTTCGCACACTTTTTGATTTCGTGTTCCACACTTTCTCTTGTGTTAAAAAAACAACAACAAAACTCTAATTACATATCGCTATTGAAATAAAATTTTTTCGTCACACTAAAATATGATGAAATTATCTTGTTTTTTTATTGTAATATTTAATTTCTATACTTCACTTAATATTTTTAAATATCTCTGTTATATTTAGTTTATTAATGTTTTTATTATTTTTTAATTTAGTTTTTATTGAAAATTTTAGTATTTTCCACTTATTACGTCTTTGTTTTTCTTTTTACTGCGGCGTGTTTACAAACATGATATATCCGAGTAAGAGTTGCCATATTCTATTCTTTGATACCTTAATGCCAGATTGTTGTAATTTACAATTATGGCACATTTAACAAGGTAGAACTAGTAAGAATATGAATTTGTTATTAACTTTATTTTCGTTAGAAGGGTGTATATAAGTTTGTCATTTCATTTGTAATTTCTTCTATATACTTTTCCGACCATATAAAGTATATATTCTGAGTCCTTATAGATAGCGGAGTAGATGTTCGTCTGTATGTATGTTGAAGTTTTCAGAATAAACCAGATATCTACGAGTACCGAATCTTCAATAATTCTATCAGACGTACTTTCAAAACGTTCGATTTATTGTTAATAACTAACTCCCTTTAGATCATTGGGATAAAAGTTAACACTGATATACTGCGTACGTACAAAAATTACACAGGCCAACAAAATTTGAAAAAAGTTGAAAACCAGAGACCTAAGTAAACTTTGGATTGAGGAGTCCTGAATCCGATTTTGCTCTCAGAAAACTTTATTTTAAACTCGACAGATTGGTCTTTTAGACGACATAACAGATTTTATAAATAAAGGTATCATCGCGCTCTTATAGCGTCTCAATTATTACCAAAACAGGGTTATTCAAACTTTATGATACATTATTTGCCAAACATGATGTGATTGGTAAATTTTGAGGATAGATTCGGATTCAGCGTGCTCAATCCTTTAGAAAAGTATACTTTAGTGTCTTCCATATAAAGTGGACTTCTGAAAAACACCTAATAGTAAATAACTCATGAATTAAGAATGTTAGTAAGGTAAAATTATACTCCGGATCGGTTCATAATTGGTCATATATTCTCCCATATAAAGCCCTCATCTCAAAAGCACTTAATTGTACATAACGCTTTACTTAATTAAGATATCGGAATAAAATTCTACAGGAATATATATTTTGTACATATACAAATCATTCAACGACTATTTTCCGGATCGATCTATTATTTGTTTATTATTTAAGCTTTCAAAATTTATAAAATGAAAATTTTTATAAGTATTCGGCGTGTTAAAAGGGTGTAAAGGGTATTTAAGACTCTAACTTGTTTTTCAGTGCATTTTATTTTATTGAATTTTACCACTGTACCATTACTTGTCGATGCGTTAAAGCCGAAGCGTTGAAGTATTGTATGTGCCAGATGTTTTAAAGGAATTTTGTTTTGACATTTTCTTTTGAGCTCTTTCCGATTTGCTTGTAGTTATGAACAAAATTCTTTAACACAAAGTCGCAGTTTTCTTATAAGTTGGTTGGTTTTATTTTAAATTTTTAAATAAATTTTGTGCAACATAAAAACAAAGTTAATAACAATTTATATAAAAAAACAACAAAGATACTTTAGAACAGTGTTATTATGTGAATAAATAAAATGTAAAACAGTTTTTTTCACGTGGAAATAAATTAAAATTATATTTAAGTGCTGCTATTAAAAAAAGCTCAACTAAATTCTTATTGGTATTTAAATTAAACGAATTAAGAATATGTTTTACGATATTAAAAAAAGTTGCTAATTTTTGTGAAATAAAAGTAATTTTATTAAAATAAAAAAAAATACCATTACTACTTGTGATTATTAGGTGAGACGTAGCTCGGGTTGCGGTAGCCATTATTTTTTGTGTTTTTTATGCCCGATTAGTTTTTTTTTTTCATGAGAGTAAACGCGAATGAATAGAAGAATAATAAAATAAAACGAAAAAGAGAAAAAATAACAACTACAAAGAACCTAATATATACATGAAATTGTTGGTGTGTGGAGTAAGGAGTGGTACTGACTGCCTGCATTCTAATTGGTATTTAAGTTAAGAATGAATAAAGTGGAATAGAAAATTTTAAAAGAATATATAATTAATTTAGCAACAAAAATATTGCAGGTATGTACAAATATTTTATTAAATTTGCATATTTATATTTAACATGATAAATTAAAGATTATTTAAACATATGTTGTTAAAAAATGCGCGTAAAAATCTTTAAAAAATTTGTGTCTTTTCTTTGATCATGCGTTCTTATAGTTTGCATCTGTGTTGATATTTTGTTTTCCCTTTTTCCTCGTATAGAATTAATAATATATTTGAATATCTATTCTAAAGATATAATAAATATTTTGTTAGCTTTTATATAAATAACTTCGGTTTAATCAATTTTATCATTAAATTTTAAACCAAATGAAATTTAGTAAATTTATTTCCAAATTTGTTAATAGGTATTAAAAGAATTTTGTTTTAATGAATACATGAATTTGTTATTTTATTTTCATGTTTTTATTTGTAAACAAATTAAATAGATTCACATTTGTCCCCTTTTTTGACAAATCCCCCAAAAACTACATTTAATAAATCATATAGAAATGTCAAATAAGCGCAACAAACGTACTACACAACAACAAAAAACTCAAACATTCTTATTCGTTTTGTGCGCCTTTCCCAATAAGAAAAATAGAAACAAAACTATATATACTTTAACAATGTTGTCAATATGTCAAAAGCGAAATAAAAAATAAAACGTCGAAAGCGAAGATAGATAGATAGATAGATAGATAGATAGATAGATAGATAGATAGATAGATAGATAGATAGATAGATAGATAGATAGATAGATAGATAGATAGATAGATAGATAGATAGATAGATAGATAGATAGATAGATAGATAGATAGATAGATAGATAGATAGATAGATAGATAGATAGATAGATAGATAGATAGATAGATAGATAGATAGATAGATAGATAGATAGATAGATAGATAGATAGATAGATAGATAGATAGATAGATAGATAGATAGATAGATAGATAGATAGATAGATAGATAGATAGATAGATAGATAGATAGATAGATAGATAGATAGATAGATAGATAGATAGATAGATAGATAGATAGATAGATAGATAGATAGATAGATAGATAGATAGATAGATAGATAGATAGATAGATAGATAGATAGATAGATAGATAGATAGATAGATAGATAGATAGATAGATAGATAGATAGATAGATAGATAGATAGATAGATAGATAGATAGATAGATAGATAGATAGATAGATAGATAGATAGATAGATAGATAGATAGATAGATAGATAGATAGATAGATAGATAGATAGATAGATAGATTAGATAGCTAGATAGATAGATAGAATATTTATAGATAGATAGATAAATAGGTAGATGAAGAATGGCATGAATAACACGGGCTAGCAAATTCAAAAAATTTGGATCCCACGAGAATCAACAATTTTATAAATGTTTGCGTTGCTCTGATTACAATTTTTTCCCCGGGCATCAGAATTTCAATCAACATTATGTTCTAATGTTTAAAAACAACTTTTGAGACAACAGCACAAGGAAAGTTCAAAAGGTAAAGGATAATGCTAGTTCTTCAATTCTGAAATTTTTAAAGGACGACCGAATGTTTACTATTTCGGTGAAATTTGGTATTTTGCTATTAAGCCATACATATCGTCCAATAGCAATTTGTTCTCACTTTCCAAAGTTATGAAAAGTATCGGTAACTACCATCTTTTATATTTATATATTTTTGCAAAAGTAAAGTGTGATTTGCATTTCTAACAAATTAAACTATACAAATAATATAAAGATTAATTCAGTGGTACTTATTTTAATAAACGAGCTTCTATGTCAAATTTCCAACTCTGTCTACACTTTTGCAAGTGAGAGAGCAATATCTGCCAATCATATTCACCCAGTTATGGTAATGGGGCATATGAATGAATCGCTTAAACATGAGTGGTGCAAAAATATGGGAATCAGAAACTCTTGATGTTCTAGGTACACTGCGAAGTTCGCTGGACTAAAAGCGTTTGTCGAAAGAAATATTCAAAAGTCTCGGCTTTTTCAAACTTCGTAAGATACTCCATACTTCACTATATATGATATCACTACTATCGGCTATACATCACTTATTTCCGCCCGAGAATGGATTACAACTCTCATATATGGCCCAGAGCTTCATGTACAGGAGAGGGCGAAGGCATTTATCGGTTACAGTAAGTTGTCCAACTCTATTGATTCTTTGCCTTTCTCTATCAATGTAAGATGATTTGATTCAAATATTCGCAAATAATATTATTAGTATTTAAAAGGGGTCATCGCTGGTGCAAAAAAAAATGTTATTCCTTCCGAAAGTCCAAAGAACGTGGGGCTCAAAATCCGAAATGATCTTCTCTGCCTTTGAAACCAAAATTAAGCCTATGCTTCATTGGATAAAATTTATTGTCTCACATGAGCTCTTTGTGATATTCTGCACATCCTCATAAAGGATGAGTCGCGCAAATTTTCCTACTAGAGCTAACTATTTTAAAAGTTGACAAATTGGTGGGACATATATGTAAATATTATAAATACATTTATGTTCCATATATCTAGTTTACAGATGGTTCCAAACAGATATTTGGCAAGACTGAAGCGTGGATCTGTGGCCCAAATTTAAAAAAAAATCCCTATGGGTAATTATGCTTTCGTTTTTTATGGTCTTACTGTCATGTGAAATGAGGTCGAGTATTCTACTTGATATATCTTAATGAACTGGGTAGATACAATAAACTGATATACTATGCTTTGCATCCGGCTATGAATAACAGAGCAAGCAATAACAGAGTAATCATTCTTTGGTATCCCAAAGAATACATTAGGAAAAAATGTGGTTCTTATGTTAAATCCGAATTTCTCTGCACCGAAAAGGCAATATCACTCAGGCAAAAAGTTTCATAGGATGACACTTCCGAACGTTGTGACTGTCTGCCATTATGGCCTCTTAGAGCGAGTATTCTTTGGGGCACATTTTTATAGCCAAATGAAATATTTTATCTCTAACCGACTAGAACCTTAAGATTTTTACGAAAACTTAAGCTATAATGGTGAACGAAAGTGCTGCACATAAGATCTTAACTTAGGTCGCAGTGCTGAGTGCCGCCTACAATCGATCAATACATAATTTCCCGAAAACCTTTAG